CAGGAGACCTGGGTGGGATTCCCAGCAAGGGAAGGGATACACTGGGCACTTCTGGCACGCAATTAACATGAACCCACTTTACCAGGCAAACTGGGGTTTGCAGGGAATACTGTCTGTCAGTTTTATATTGTGCATGCACTAATTTTCCCGCCATACTAAGCCATCTTACACTCAGACCTTTGGAAAAACCCTGCCATGGGGGTGTTTACAAGTGCACTATATGGTTATATCACTCATTCTTCCTTTCCTGCACACTTTGCTGTTACCCTACACTGTAATCCCTGCCATGAAACATGCTGCCATCCACCCTCCCTTCAGTTCACCAGGCTTACTCGGCTTCAGACCCCCATATTCAGCGTTTGCCAGCCCTGATGGCTGACCAGTGGCCCAAAGATTAGGACCATCCTCTAAGGCAGGTGGATCATACAGGAGAATCTGCCCTGCTAAATCACTGGGATGCATCCTGCTGCATTGGTCTAGGTGAGCCCGCACTCAAGCCTCTCCTTGAGAAATGATAGGTGATTTGCTGTATGTTTGATGTGTGTTAAACTTGTCTCCATTCCTGTGCTCAGAATTATTGATTAGTCTAACAGCTGTACCCCTGCTGGTTTGGTGTTTCATATCTATGTAGTAGAAAAAGGCACATTGATTTTGCTATTATCAAAATCCTCTTGTATTTGCAGTCGTTTTCTCTTCCTGCAATTTTCTAATCCCTTCTGGAAAACATGTTACACATTGTCAAGATCAAATTCCTGAGACATCTTGTTTAAATCAAGGGATTCTTAGCACCTTCTGTTTCTTTTGAACACCCATCTGTGCAGTAATAACAAATCAGAGAGCTACTGGGGCAGGGGGAAGCATCAGCAGGGACTTCAGTCTGTGGTCATACTTGCTGCTATCAAACATCATTATGGTGCATTATGCTGATGAAGCAACTTCACAAAGTTCCTTTGACAAGCTGTGCTATAAGAACTTCCAACACACCAGAGCTTCAGGATAACAACAGTAACATTTTCAGCCCATCCACAAGAAAATACACTGAAATTGTTATTTGTTTCTTACCTAAAGACTGCTCCATATCAAGTGTTGTCCATACCCTCTTCTCAATCACCAAGATTAATAACTTCAACCATGTATCCTCTAGCTTCACTTCAGCTACTCCTATAAAACCAGGGGTTTGGTTAGGGTGACCAGTCTCTCAGGTAAGCACTCCTACAGATCAGAGCTTCACTTGCCACACAGCCAGGGAAGTTATTTTGTGTCACCCCCTGACTCAAAGGCTTTATAACATTTTTTTTTCACAGTGACAACATTTCCTAAGAGGGCATTGTGGGCAGGGGACCACAAATGAAGCCAAGCTTCATCTGGATTTTCTCTTGCTCAGCAGCAAAGCTTTTCCCCAGGCTTATAAGTGCATGCTTGCTCAAGCAGCTGTGCACCCACAAACCTGAAACACCTTGCTTCACCTTTCCTAATGAGCACGTAATCAAATTAAGGCAGCAGCTCATTATATGTGGTGGTGTCCTTTCCTGAAAGGGCTTTTTGCTAACCCAGAATCTGGTAATAAACATGGCAACTCCTACAGTGTGGTGGGATATCATCATTATTCTATAGCATATCTGTAATATCAATATTCATATAATGTTAAAAATTAATGCGTATGTTGCCATTAATAATTAATTACTCCAATATTAATAAAATTAAAGCAAATGTTGGCACAGATCTCGTAAGTGGAGTGAATAAAGGAAAGCATTTAAACCAGGCGCTCTCTTAACAAGCTATGTGTACTGGAGAGCAAGGCTTTTCCCTTCCACAACAGTGTTTCTAGGGCTGCACAGGTTTTGTTCTCTTTTCTTGTCTGATTTCTCCTTCAAGGGCCTGTCCCCTTCCCTTCCTCCCAGGCAGGTGAGGAAGATGTTCCTGGTCTGGGATTACAGCCAGGGTGATGCTGAGGTGAAACGAGCAGCACAAGGAGCTGCAGAAAACCTTCCATGGCCGAGCTGGTTTGAGGGTGGCCACCTTTTCCATCAGTCATGATGCATCAAGTTTCCTGTGCCCCTCAAATCAAAAGTTGCCTCAAAGGAAAAGCAGAGGGGCATGCAAGGCCATTTACATTTTTAAATACTTCTGGCAGTCACTGTTTTACCTGTTATCACCGTAAAGCAAAAGTGAAGGGTTTCTCCCCTACCCTTTCCACTGCAGAAAGAAATTAAAGGGACTTCGCAGGTGTGCTTGGGTTAGGAAATCTCCCTCAGGATGGGTGAAAAGGTAATTGATTAGGACAGAGTTTAGGGAAGAATTGGGATGCAAAAGCTTCATCTTCCTTCCAGAATGATCTCTCAAATCAACTGCCCTTCATTGTGTCAATTAATGAGAATTAAATTACTAAAAGGGGAATCATAATAATTATTGCCAAGTGAATATAGTGTGAATGTAGGACAGTGAGGTTTTGCCTTTATCTCTTCTATGTCAGCAGCCACACTTGGGCAGCAGCAGGGAAGGTTTGGAAAAGCCCCTCAAGGACAAGTACAGGATAACATCTCCCTCAGAGAAGCACCTTCCTAATGTCCTTTCCATGAGTGTCTGCAGGACACGAGTATTTCAGCCTCTTACAGATGGTGTGAACTTCGGACTCATGTAATTGGGGCTGTTCTCATTACCCAGATAAATGCCTAATCCCACAAGTCAGTTGGTACAAATTACAACTACAAAGTTGCTCTGCTCTTGTCTGATAAACTCTCCTAGGAGTTCAGTTTGGCAGGTCTAAGGCAGTCATCAGATATACTTGTCCACTCATTTACCGTGATACAAACCAAGGTTATTACCCTTGGTGGAGTCGCTGGTGATTGATGCTGGTGGGAGATGAAAAGCAGGACTGGTGTTTCCTGCTGTGGTTCATCGTTTTGAGCACCATGTCAATGTGCTTTGATAATGAATGGAGTAAGAGATGGGGCACATACACATTTGGGCTGCTTCTGTATTTCTTCCTTAATTTCCCTTTGAGTGTAAATCGAAGTCTATGGTATTAAGCTAATTTTATACTGATAGATATGGACAGAAAAGCAACTCCAGGCTCCCACTGCATTCCTCCTCCGCAGATTCAGACTGCATGGGTGCACAGGGTGTTTGGGGAGCCCCACTATCAAGATACAGTGGTAGGATCAGGTTTTGGGTTTGCTTTTAAATCCAAGTTGTGGGGATTTCTCCACTGCTTATATCACTGCATTAACATGGGAACAAGCCAGTCTTTCACCAACACAACCCAGCCCTTTGGGTTTCTGATGAGCCCCTCTAACACTTCAGACCTAATCCAGGCACTTTGTATCTGACCAGGTTAATGCAAAGCACCTATAAAATTACCATTTGGTGGCACCTCACACTTTCTTTCTTTGGTTGTTTGGGGTTTTTTCCTACAGGACCTGAGTCTGTTGCCGCTTGCACAGCTGCTGTATTGCCTCTGCAGAGGGTGACACAAAATATATAGGCTTTGGAGTAGGAGCCCTGGGGTTGGGCTGTCTCGAGCCAGGAAGATGCAGTCCTATCTCTCAAGACATTTATTTTTCTAACATGTGCAGAATCCACACAGATCTGGCAAAATAACAAGCCCAGTTTTTCCTTTCTGTCTCCTCAGGGTGGCTGTGGAGCCAAGTGGAACATACCTGGTAAACTCACTGGGGCATTTCTCATCTTCTCCAAGTAACACAGGTGTGTGCCTTAATACAAGCGTGCTAACTTCTCTCAACCCCCTTTTATCGTCATCAGCAGCAAAGCACTGATTGTTGAAAGATGAATGACTTCACTTTTCCAGTTCCAGCATATGTTTGCATGTCTGAGAGTAAGAAACGTGTGAAACTCACACAAACTATTGGAATTCCAGCTCCAGGGACTGACAAGTAAATACGAAGTTGCACAGCGTGTCATAGAAATCCCACAAATTTTATGTTTGCTGGGCTAAAGTTGATTCTTTGAGGCATGTGCCAAGAAAAACCTCTCATATTAACTACACCAAGATTCCTCTATCATCTAAGAATGCAGCTTGATTGAGGAGTTCATGCCTGGTAAACTGCTGAGTTGCCCTAAAAGCAGCCAGTGGCATATAACCTTTTGCTAAACTATCCATAAGGAGCTCTGATAGCTTGGGTTAGTTGAGTGTATGATAACAGATTACACTGAATAAAAATGGAAAACCACAATGACAAAATAATGCTATAATATTAAAATAAATCAAATCATACACTGTCATTATTCTGATACAGAATTTTTACACAGCAAATTTGATACATATACAAGAAGTCAGGCAGCCCATTACAATAAACTTCAGGGTTCCTTTTTTAATATTAACTACATCTTAATACATAGTTTGAGATGATCATGTAGTTTTACACCAGCTCAATTAACAACAATGTCTCATCTTAGAATACTAAAATAACAAAATCTTTTAATGCTTTGAATATTGAAATGCTTTGGTTCCACTGTCCACTTTTTAAAAGTGTAAAAACTACATCTATTTGTTAAACTCTCATCCTAGAGACGTGCCTAACTTAAAATACAGTTATTTTAATAAAATACGAAATGTAACATAAATACAGGTTTTTGGCAGTTGTCATATGCTTCACACTATGCAATTATTCAACTCTCAGTTCAATTCAGACATTCCAAAGTGTAAAAACATGGCCAAAGTTTTCCAAAACTGACAATAATCTTGGATGTTTTCATTCTGGGGATAAGCTGGAACCGTGAAGACCACAAGATGGTTCAGATATCATAAAGCAGCATTGCTTTAGCAGATGTCATTTTGCTCACCCCAAAATGAAAGCATCCATCACTGTGAGTCCCTCCTGAAAACTTCGGCCGCTACAGCACAGCATCTCATCTTCAGTTTTAATGTTGATGAGGCAGGAAAGTATGGTAAAGGGTTTCCCCTGGCAAGTACCTTGTTCGTCACAACAACAAGAAAACGAATACATCAAGAGGCTCTTTCTAGCACAGAAAAGCTCCTGCTAAAAAAAGACATCTTCTTTTCTGAAGCCCGGTAAACATTTGAATTTGGTGGGAGAAGTCCGTACGCAGACCAGGCTGGGGAGGCATGGGCAGGTGTGGTGCATCCGCCGCCCGGCGAAGGGAACCTGGGGATAAAGAGAAGAGACATCAGGGACAGGGAGCACAGCGACGGTGATGTTCGGGAGAATTGATTTGGTTGAATAGTGGGGACAAAGGGAATGTCATTCCGCCCTCCACAGCAGGAGATCGCCACAAGCTGCAGCACGGGGAACGGAAGGAGGATGGCAAAGCCAACCCCACTGCATACCCTGGTCAAACCACAGTCAAGAGCAAAATGTAGTGGTCTGTGTAGCTGTGTAAATCACAACATTTACACATGTTCTGCATTTACTCCCATTTCATAAAGGAGTCTGCTGTGGAACTACACCAGCCTTTAGCATCACATTTTTGCAGCGTGTACTATGCAGTGCCTACTTGCCCCAGTTCCTGCACTGACGTATGGCACAGAGTAGTCTGTCAGCTGTGTAGCAGGACCTGGGAACCGCAGGATCCCATGGTAGTTCAGGGTGGAATGGGATCTCTGGAAGTCATCTTGCCTCTCTTTGAGCAGGATCCTTTTCGCCCCAGGGTAGAGGTTTCTCATTGCATCCCACCCTCCTCCAGCTACACTGCATTGCAGGGAGCACACATATGGACTGCATTAAACAGACTTAGTTGCGCCACAAAATGCACATGTACTAACACTCTTTAACAACTTGATCACAAGCTCTGTCTTTTACAGGAGCCATGTCTTTGCCAGCACATGAGCTGAGCCAAGCAGGACAACCTGGTGGGACTGCATGGCCAGGGGCCGTGGTGCTGCTGGCCAGCAGCGTGCACTGAGCATCCGGCTGGATGCTGCAAGGGAAGCACAGAGGTACAAAGCCACTGCTGGGCAGGCAGCCCTAATTCCCTCATTTCCAGATTTCTGGGTGTTTTGAGCCTGCAGTTTTAATATTCCAAGATTGCTTTGTGTCAGTGTGCCAATTTTCTCTGTAAGAAAGTTGAAGGAAGGAAGTCCCACACGTTCCGCTGGTCATCATGCCAAAGACCAGCCCGACTCCAGTGACACTCTAGTGAGTGTGCGGTGCGAGTGAGGGTCTCAAACTGCCTGCAGTGTCCTGGGCCAGCTGCAGCCCCCTGCCCAGCACCACCTGAAGAGCAGCCCCAGAGCGAGGGCTGCTGTATGCTTCCCCATGCCATCCATCATGGTCCCCTCTGCCCTAGCGTGAGCACAGAGACCACCAACCGTGGGTGCTGGGGACTCCCCATTGGGAATCACACCTCTCAGGTGCCCACGCACAGCACTGCAGAAAAACCTGAGCTCCTGGGGCTGGTAAGGCTGACTCAGAGGTACTGCTCAGCCCTCTGACAGCTCGAATGATTTATTCCAAACATTACAGTTGCTGCAAGGAAACGTTCCTTTCAGCAGGCCTCCCACGCTGAAGGACTCCCACGCTGAAGATGTGACTTTAACAACACACCCGGCTGAGGACAGGCAGCAGGTGACAGCTCTGCAGGACAAAACTTTGCCAGGGTGTGCAGCTTCTGCCTGCACAGGCAGAGCCCATGTGCCCAGAGGCAGAGCTGGTGATGCCGGCAGAGCCGGTGCCTCTTGACCACTCCATGTGCCCAGCACGGGTTTTAATGAGCATGAGGCATTGGGAGTTCGTGGGTGAAAAGGAAACATGGGACCTCCTGGGAGAGATGTGGTGATTATGTGCAAGGTGCATAGTGGCAGCAAAGCCACCTTCGTGCTGCCAGCTCTGCCTGGTGACCTGTCAAACGTCCCCTACCTGTCGCTGCCTGCAAACCCTGCCATCCTGCCTGCAAACCCTGCGTCTGCAATGCCAGCTGAGATTGCTAACGGCATCAAGCCAACGCCATCTAGTTGCTGAGAAGGAAACTAGAAGGTGGAAGCCCAACTCCCAGCCATCTCCTCCAGGGTATCTCCAGGCTTCTCTGGAGGTCCCCGAGGTGGTGGCATGGCCATGGTGGTGCCTGCTTTGTACCTGAGCTGCAGGCAAGTGAAGGGTTTTGGTGCTCAGGGCAACTGGTCTCCCAGCTGCCCCCTACCCAGATATTTAGGGGGCAGAAACTGCTGAGTAAACTCTCCATCCTTAAAAATAAGTAATTTCACATATTACCATAAACCAATTTGCTTCATGCTTGTCATGAAGGGCAGTGGGGTGAGGAATCTAAAATTAACCTCATAAAGCTTATAAACATCAGTGACTATGATTTTAAGTCTGAGGTGGACAGAAATCTCTGATTGTAATTATGCAGGCAATTAGCCTAAAATATACCAGACAGTATAATTTGCCCAGCAGCAATGAGCTCATTAAAAAAATAAAAATGTAGAAGCCAATTTCTCTTATCCTGAGACTTCTGTTAATATAAAGAGCCCTCACAAGTACATTACATTGTAAAAATGGGGAATTTGGTCCCCAATATCACAGCAGAAGATTTAAGAACTTAACTGTAATTGGGCAGAGCTTTGAACTTCTCAGCCTCTGGAGCACAAGGGGACATGGGTGTTTGATGGCAGGGACCATGCAGCAATGATGCACTGGGTGTCCGAACACTGGCTAGTGATGTTTTTGTTTGTGATGGGATCTTGTTAGGGGACGGTGGCATTTGCTATATTCTTGCTCACACCCATAGCATTGGAAGGGTTGGGCTTGGGAACTGCTAAAGCTGTTTTGGATCATGTAATGAAGCAAAACAGCAACAACAAACTAATGAGTAAACAATCTGGAAGGTGTGTAGTACTTTCATCCTTGGATTCTCTTCAGCATAATTTTGACAGTAATGTATTTCCTTATGTGGGTACCTTCAAAGCTATTTCCATAGGGATGCAAATGGCTGGGTATTGTAACTCATGGGATGTTCCCCTGTTTTATACAGTGTGAGGTACAGTGCACTATATTGCTGTTCCTTTCTGCCCTGCCGCAGCCCCCTGGTGACGTACTCACTCGGTGACTCAAAGGGTGGCACTCTTCTCCCAAATTTCCCATTGGCGTGCACATTCGCAGGCTGCGGATCCAGAGGCTAACCGCACAGCACATCCCTCCTCCGCACTGATAGTCCCGGTCGCAGGCCTGGAGTTCAATACAGGATTAGGCAAATGAAATCAGTAATAAATATATTCCAGAAATAGGACAGATCAGGTGCTCAGGAGCTGCCTCAGACACCCCACAAGTTATCATGGCTCATTAAGGCTGAATAATCAGATTTAAGGCTGATTTGCAATACTTAAGGCTCCCATGGATCTGAATGTACAGGCTCCTCACATGTTTCAGGGTTGAGCTCAAGATGTTTAAAGCCATGACCACATAGAGAGTTGCTCAGAGCCAAATTCAGGACTGTCAGAGACTTACAGTCCTGACTTCAGAGAGCTGATGGCACATGCCACTCTGCTTTCCCAGATTGGAGCCGGAGTGAGCTCAGGCAGCTACAAGGACCAAGTGTACCAAGCAGTCAGGAATCCTGTCTTATGGAGAAGCTAAGATAGGATATTATCCATTAATTTAAAGACTTCTTAGACTTTTCCTTCTGGTTTCTTATAATACCTCATGGTTGAGTGCCTTTGCATTGCAGGACTGCATGATAGTTTTGTTAGAGAAGTCCAAGTAGAAGTAGCTAAAATAGAAGTTTAAATATGGACTCTGTGGTTGTTATCTAGAATTACATGTAACTAGAAGTGGTCTTAAATGTGTAGTAAGAAAAACTTCTCCTAAGTGTCCAAATCCAAGAAAATGCTGCTGTGGTAGCATTCCCCCTGCAAGGCGGGAGGCAAATATTTCGGGCACTTACCCAATACAGCTTAGATAAGCACAAACCAAAATACAAACTATTGGGTATGTTTTAAAATGCAGAAACAATGAAGAGCAGTTGACATGTTAGAGTTTGGAAACAGGTTACTCACTGCACGTCTTCTGCCTATTTTTTAACCAAAATTTTGTATAATAAGAAGTTCTCATAAGCTCAATGCAAAAACCAGTCTCCTTTCTCTGATGAGAAATGCCATTAGTTAAGGGTTCTGATTGCACCCCAAGGGAAAGCTGAATTAACTCACTGTTTTCTTAATGTCTAACTGCAGCAGTGACAGACCAAAGGCAGCAGTTCATAAACAGGCAACTTGTGAAAATGTTCAGAGAATGTGATGATGGCTCTGGGGAAGACTGCGTATCAGAACAAACATTCGCTTACAGATCTTACCTTGGGATTCAAATGATAAATGCCATTAGACTGTACTCCACTAGGTAAATATTACACAAGTTCAACCAGCAGAAGCCAGATCAAAATACGTATTTACAGATCAGCCAGTAATTTAGGAAGAAGATGTTGCATTGGGATCAAGCCATTTAATAGTGTGTGCAACTCAAACAGCTCGCACTCCTCCTAAATGCACATTTAATGAAGCAGAGAGATCTATGCTACAGGTGAGCCCAACACACAGAGTATTTATTTACAAGACTAATATGGCCATAAAACTACTACTACAGCCTGCCAAATAGGTAAAGTTTACTTTCTAACCTCTCTCAAAAGAAAGTGCTCTAATGGCCTGATTTCGTCCTAGTCACAAAAAACTTCAGGTCTGGTGATTTTTGCTTATCCCAACATGCTGGTGTCCACTGCTCAGCTGGAGTCACAGGCTCTACTATTCCTCACCAGTCAGCTCCTGAACTCCCTTTTTTCCTTGGCTGTATATCTCAAACCCCATCTATTTCCATGGGACTGGCCCTGGATGGAAGTACTACTCAACCACTAAACAGGTCTGAGTATGTCCTAGCCAAGCAAGGGTATCTAAACCACTGTGCTTTCTTTTACAACTCACACACACATATGTACATCTGGCAGAACTTTTAAGGCTCCCTTTCCAAAAATGTATGACAAGTTTTGAGAAATATTCAACCCAAATGCTCCTGCACACACCTTATCTGCAATGTGTAATTCATACTGCTATTCTAAATCTTCCCAGGACACAACATAAAGGACATTCCTCCTCAGCACCCCATTTAAACCCAGTTTTGTGGAAAATTCAGCTCAAGCAGAAAGTCCCAGGTGAAATGCCAGCTCCAAAGGCAACTTAAGTCAGCACATAAACCACCACTGAAGTGAGAAAGGTTTCAATCAAGTCCTTATATTGCAAAGGAAAAGCAACTTTCAGGCTCAGGGGATGGGGACAGGAACACCTACGTCAGCTCTCATCTGAGATTTGCCCATTCATGAGAAGCCAAAAAAATGCATCCAAGTGATTTAAGTGGAAATGCACTGCAATGGTTAATTATGTATCACTTTCTAGTTCTAACCTATCTGTACTTTTTGAATCTGCTTTGTCCTGATCAGTGCTTCAAAATTACTTTATTTAATGGATTAATTAAGCTCTCAAGGTCTAGCCACAACTCTAATAACAGACATATAAACCGATCCTCTATTGCTGGAAATATTTCTACTTAAAAGGAACTTGAAATTCTCAAGTTTTAGAAAAATTCCTTCACACTGCTCTGAAAATTAATCAGCCCTGGGAACTGATCTGACTTTCAGAGAAATGCCTACAAGCCCTTCCATGGACTTCAGTGAGGTCTGGATGGGGAGCCTGGACAGCCGCGGAGTAATTGACTACCGCGAGTACAACTTCTGATGGTTACAGAAGACATGTAACCTCTCAAAGGAATGCAAGCACTGGCTTATTAATCCAAAGCAAACACTAGAAAAAATCATTTTACTTCAGCGTGATGCAACCTTTTGAGTTAAATAACGTCTTTGGGATAAAAAAAAAAATATTTTCACAACCAAAGTAAATTTCAAGTCTAAAAACAACAACAACAACAGAGGACTCGTGTGCGGGGGGTGACTGTTGAGGGAAAAAAGCAGCACAGTCATACTCCGGAAAAAAAAAAAAGGAGCGTTTTGCGGTGGTTGCAATACCGGTGCCTGCCCTGCGAGCGGAGGGGCTGGAGGAGCGGGCATCCGGGGTGCACAACCCGGCAGCGCCGTGCCCGAGCCGGGCCCTCCCGGGACATGTCTGGGGGCAGTGGGGCTGCGAGAAGGGTAGCCCTAGAGAGGGCTAC